AAGGCTGTATAATGATGAACTTTTCTTCGTTATAACTGGTTCACATGTAATAAATAAGGTCCTTAAAAGAAAAGTAACAGCGTTAACGCATAATAGACTACGAAAGTGATGATGTCACACTCCAAGCGGATAACCGTGAGGAAGGGGATTACTTTCCAAAGAACCGGTGTCGGGTTATAACGTCAAAAAAGGTAATTTTGTTTCAGTGTAAACGCTGAAACTAACTATTTTAATAAGTACGTGAGTATATGTTACTAATCATTGAACCTTTAAGCAATGAAAAGGCGTGTTGGGATGGCTGCAATGTGGTTTAAATTGCCAACCATGTGGTGGGTGTGTCAGCCATCCTTAACGCTATAATGCTTACAGTCGGGAGCACAGTACATAACAATATTCAAATGCCCTATGGCAGAAAGAGGAAAAATAAAACCCTCAGGAGATGAGTATCGTAAATGAAAGGCTGAGAAGGAAAGGGACCAAGCAAAACAGCAGGGATCCCTTCCTGAAATGTCTTCTCTTTAATCCAAATAAAGATGGAAGCAGTTTGCAGCATCTAGATGAAGGAATTTTACTTGGAGAGGAGGTTAGCTCACATCCGCATGGAAGCAGTTTGGAAACTCAAGATGATGGAAACTTACTTCTAGATGAAGGCAGCTCACAGCATCAGACTGATATGGAAGTGGAGAAAATTTATTCACATTCAGAGAGACATGCAGAAATTGAAGTAAATGAAGTAGAAGGAAGAAAGGATGAGGAAGTTACAAACAAGTTACAGTATGGGGACCCAGCTTCCTGGCCCAGATGTGATAACAGTGTGCGGCAAATTCTTGTGGAACATGGACCCGAATAAGTTCATGAATTTCCCTTCCCTAAGGATGGAAATAAAAGAAAATTCTCTGCTCAGGATTACAAGAGAAACTTATTAATGGGGAAGAAATTAATCAAAACTGGTTATAATATTCAGTGTTGAAGGACTCTGTGTTTTGCTTTTGCTGCACGTTGTTTAGAAATCAAGCAATTGGTACATCACTTACTGAAAATGGTTCGAAGGACTGGAAAAACATATCTTCAATTCTCTCTTCACATGAAAGAAGTACAGAACATTTGTAATGTTTTCAGAATTGGAAAGAACTTGAATTATGATTGAAAAAAGGAAAAACTATCGATGAAGAAAATGTATGTGTGATCAAGGAAAAAGAAGAATATTGGCAACAAATATTAGAGCATCTGATTGCTTTAGTGAGAGTTCTCGGTGGGCAAAATTTAGCATTCCACGGCCGCGGTAGAAATGAAAGATTATACACTACAGATAATGGAAACTTTTTAAAATTTGTTGAATACCTAGCTTTGTTTAATCCAGTCATGAAGGAGCATCTACGTAAAATAACTGATCATGAAACACGGGTTCATTACTTAGGAAAAAATATGCAGAATGAACTGATTCAAATCCTAGCAAATGCCATTAAAAAGAAAATTGTAGAAGCTGCCCATTCTGCAAAATACTTTCAATAATACTGGACTGTACACCAGATGTGAGTCATGTTGAACAAATGATGATGATCATTCGTTTGTGGATATGGAAAAGTCTGCAGATGACAACAATGTTGAAGTGCTCATAAAGGAACATTTTTTGGGTTTCGTACCACTGAAGAAGATGACTGGAGCATTTATGACTGAAACTATTCTACAAGAACTTGAAACAATGTCATTATCTGTTGAAAACTTACATAGCCAAGGCTATGATAATGGGAGTAATATGAAGGGTAAAGACAATGGTGTGCAAAGGAGAATGATGGAAATCAATCCTAGGGCCCTTTTTTTTTTCATTCCTTGCAGTGCGCATTCTCTGAATTTGGTTGTCAGTGATGCTGCTAGATGCTGTTTGGAGGCAAGCAGTTTCTTTGACCTGGTGCAACGTGTTTATGTGTTTTTCTCAGGATCAACACACCGTTGGGAGATTCTGACTCACCATGTGAATTCTATAACTGTGAAACCACTTAGTCAGACAAGATGGGAGAATCTCATTGATGCTTTGAGGCCTCTTCACTATGAACTTCAAAACATTTATGATGCCCTAACTGACATTTCTGATGATACTACCTTTACTGGATCATCTGGCAATATGGCACGTTCAGATGCAGAAGCTCTTGCAAATGGCCTTTTCAAGTTCAAATTTGTGACTTCACTCATTTTGTGGTATAATATCCTTTTCAAGATTAACCTCACTTGTAAGCAGCTTCAGGAAAGAACCTGAACATACATTCTGCTAATCAAAAACTGCAGCAAACTAAAAATATTCTGGAGGAATTCAGATGCGATGAAGGGTTCGAAAGAACACTGGTAGATTCTCTCGAACTTGTTGAAGAAATAGACTTTCTGACAGAATTTGAACCAGAGCCAGTTCGCATTTGGCAGCAGTTTTAGTATGAAGGACGAGACACTCCCATTCAGAACCCAAAACAAAGGTTCAAAGTGAATTTCTACTTTGCAGTCCTTGGTTGACGAAAGATTTCGACAGATGCAGCAGCTATAGTCAGTATTTGGCTTTCTATATGATATCCACAGCTTGCAAAAGAAAACAGCAAAACAGATAAGAGAATTTCATATAAAATTGGAGCTGGCATTGACTCATGAAAATTCAAAAGACATTGATGCCACAGATTTGTGTAGTGAGCTTCAGGCTTTTTCAAGACGATTTAAGAAATATTCCACTCCTGAAGAAGTACTGAAGTTTGTTTGTGAAAATAAATGCAGTTTTCCAAACATTTTTACAGCTCTACACATTCTTTTAACTTTGCCAATTTCTGTAGCTAGTGGGGAACGTAGCTTCTCAAAGTTAAAATTAATAAAAACATATCTGCGTTCAACAATGGTGCAAGAGAGACTTGTAGGACTTGCCACAATGTCAATAGAGCATGAAATAGCTGGAAAACTGGATCTAAAAGAACTAGTGACTGAATTTTCAAAACTTAAAGCAAGAAAAGTCATGTTTTAACAGCACAGAGTGTTTTTTATTTGGAGTGTTTTGTAAATACAGGTTAAAGTTCATTGAAAAGTTTTCTTATTTCTTTCTGTATTGGATGTGGTGGTAATAGCAGTTAAAGCAGGATAGCGTAATGGATGATTTTGGATTTGTAATAATAAAAATTATAATTAACATTTTTAATGCATTTTCATTTGAAATCAGACTGAAATACCACCTAGCTGTCGTGTACAAATCTATTCTGAAAATTTCGTGTCTCTATTTTATCTTATTTCAGAAACATTGGTTGGACAGACGGATGGATGGACAAACCAAATAATTAAGCCTCTGTTTAAAAAAAAATGATTAAAATACATTAAAAGGAAAAAAGGGGCAAAATGTTTCCCAGTTTACCAAAAAACTCAGCCTAGATCTGCCTTGGGGTTTGGGGGTGGGGGCGCCAATTGCATGGTTCTCCTAGGGCACCAGTTGCTGGCAGTTAGTCTAGGGCCACCCCTGAACATGGTCCTGTAACTTTGTCCCACTTAACTCTACAAACAAAAAGTGTTAGATCATAGATTCCTCTAGCCATACCAGACAACCAAGTGCGATCATACTTGTAGTGAAAATTGGCACTTATGTGGGCCAAACTGGGTGCAACTCACAGCATTTCATCAATAGGTATGTTTATGTGTGTGAGAGAGGAGCTCATTGATAGAAATTAAAGACATGAATGTTATGCACTAAATTCTATGCTAGCCATAGGGTCATTCTTATCTCTTGTGGGAGTTCCCTAATTTAGGTTCTGCTCCTGGGAAAGTTTGGCCTCCCTCATTCACAAACCTCCCCTACTGGTCAACAGTTTTCATTGTTCCAAAGCAGCCTGAAAGTGGGAGATGAGGGTTTTCAGAGGGAGAGAGAGTGCTGTGGAGGACTTTTACTCCTGGGGTGGATATCTCAAACAGGCCTTTCTCAACTGGGATTGAGTGCAGAGTGTGACCTGTGTTACTAAACGGACTGGGTCCTTCCTTGGGAACTGCAACCTAGAGGTCACCCACATGTGCATGCTGAAGCCAGGTTTGGGGTTGATGGGATGGGGTACAGTCTTTTAAGCCAGTGGCTCTTAACTTTTTCAGACTAGTTTACCTCTTTCAGGAATCTAATTTATTTTATGTACCCCAAGTTTCACCTCACTTACAAACTACTTGCTTACAAAATCAGACTTAAAAATACAAGTGTCCCAGCAAAATCCTACTGAAAAATTGCTTACTTTCTAATTGTTACCATATAATTATAAATCAATTGGAATAGCAATACTGTACTTACATTTCAGTGTATAGTATATAGAGCAGTATAAACAAGTCACTGTATGAAATTTTAATTTGTACTGTCTTTTTATGTAGCCTGTTGTAAAACTAGGCAAGGCTAGGTCTACACTACCTGCCTGAATCGGCGGGTAGAAATCGATCTCTCGGGGATCGAATTATCGTGTCTCGTCGGGACGCGACAATCGATCCCCGAATGGACGCGCTTACTCCACCAGTGGAGGTAGGAGTAAGCGCCGTCGACGGGGAGCCACGAAGGTTGATTTTGCCGCCGTCCTCACAGCGGGGTAAGTCGGCTCCGATACGTCGAATTCAGCTATGCTATTCGCGTAGCTGAATTTGCGTATCTTAAATCGACCCCCCCCCCAGTGAAGACCTGCCCCAAATATCTAGATGAGTCGATGTAGCTCCTAGAAGACCTCAGCCTACCCCCAATGGTACATGTACCCCTGATTGAGAGCCACTGTTTTAAGCAGCAATTGGAAGGGTTTTTGCCCACCATGGCTATTCGGACCCAGACAGCCCAGAAAGGCCAACCTCACAGAGGCCACCGCTTCAAAGCGCCCCGCAGTGGCCTCCCTGGGCCCTGAGAGGGGCTATCTGGGAGCTGCTCAAAGACTAAAATCCGCTTGCAGCCACCGCTGACTCCAGCCGCCTGTGAGCGCTGGTGAGCCAGCCCGAGAGGCAGGGAGCGGGCCCAGCACAGAGGCCTGTGTGTCTCAGGGAGCTGAGGCGAGGACTCGGCAGAGGGGACAGGCCCCGCTGCAGCGCGGGCGGCGGGAGGCGGAGCTGCTGGCCCAAGGCCGCCGGGGAAGCGAAGCAGAGAGAGGGAGCGCGCAGGTCACCTCCTGCCCCTCTCCCCGCCAGCCAGCTGGGCCCGGGGATCCTGCCGCTCCTCGCCCACCGCCCCAGCCGGTGCTGAGCTGTCCTGCCGGCATTCGCTGGCTGCGGGTGGGCGGGACGCGGGGGAGAGACCCCCAGGCTCCCGCCCGCCCCAGCCTGGGTGCGGCTCAGCCCGGTCCCCTCCCCTGGGAAGAGACTCTTTAAATAGCGGCTCGAGCCTGGCTGCTGCCTGGCCAGGCGCTTCTCCCCGTCCCGCCACCAGCCCTCGCTCCGGCTGCATCTTCATCTCCCGCTCGGAGGGACTCGGAGCGTCGGGATCCCTGGCCGCAGGGACTGGAGCGGCCCGCAGCGTTCGCGCTGTATGTATCCGTATCCCCTGCCTTGTAGGGGCGGGATTTTCCTCCCTCTTCCTCCTCCTGCCCTCCGAGCCCCAGCGCGCTCGAGATCGTCTTCCTTCGCTCCCTGAAGTGCTGGGTTCTTCCCATATAGCTTGGGTCATCTCAAACAGCAGGACAAAGGGCTGGGTAGGGACCCGTCCTGCCTTGGCCCCGGGGAGCATGGATTAGAGGGGCTCTCTCTGATTTCCGTGTAGGTTACTGTGCCGTTGGTGGTGGTTTTCCTGCCCTTTAGCTTCCACGGATCAGAAGCACACAGTGAACTTCCACCCAGGTCTGGGGCATTGCCGGAGTCTTGCTTTGTCCAACTCTTTCAAGGACTGTTGCATTTCTTTAAAAACTTTCGTAATATCCGTTCTCTACAAGGCTGCCCACAAAAATGTGAAGTGTTAGTATCCTGCTGGCTGGTGACTGTTGAGTCTAAATCTGTTATGCTGTTTCTTTTTTAAAATCTTTTTCTATAACCACATTTTCTCTTCTGTTGTTGAAATTTTACATGCCTAGAACATAGCCCTTGCTCACCTTAAAGACTGAAGTCCTCTTTCTGTTCACAGATGACATACTAGCACTCACTGCAAGCTTTCCACATGGTGTCCTAGAAGAAAGTGTAGTGCTAAGGCCCATTCAGCGATCTCTCTACTGAGATGGCTAAGAAGGGTGCCGGTTAGCATTCACCTTATTGTAACATTTCACGTTTTTGTAGGGGTGGGGTACCCTTGTCTAGAATGCACACTACCAAAAGTGATGTAATAGTTGTTAAAATAATTAGTGATTGATAGAAGCCTCTCTTGTCAGCAGTGAGCCAAGTTTAGTTAAAAAGGAAATAGTGTATTCTCATTAATAATGTACTAAGAATTCTTGCCTCTCTAGAGCCAATTTATTGTATATACAGTAATACTTCAGTATATATTTTGGGGAGCGGGAGGAAAGAGGAAGGCAATCTCTACTGCTGTAGTAAAAGTAATGTGATGACCTGGAAAATGACTGATAGCTACCTCCGGTAAGATTTAGGAATTGTAGAGCACAATGGGAAATAGAGCTAAATCATGTCATGATTACAGTGATCCTAAAATACTGAGAAACATGATCCGATATAATTGTGTAGTTTTAAGGGCTCAACGTTGGCTCCTATGAAAATCAGTGGCAAAACACCTACACATTTAAATGGGAGAAGGATCAGGGTCTATTGTTCATTGTGTTCAAAGAAAGGTGTGATAGACACGCTTTAGAAATTTCTAAAATGAATAAATTAATGAGTTGTGGAAGAAAAGGCTTATTGTGAGAAATTTCACATCAAAGTTAATATAAGCTATATCAATGTTATTTCTAAAATTAATTTTGATAACTAGACTTAGTTGCATGCTATGTCACTGTTCAGCATGGTTGATATGATAGCTGTATTTTGGTGTATAAATTTTAAAAACTTTGTAAGCATTTATCATTTCCATGGTCCAGTCATTGAAGTGGCTGAGCACTATCTAGTCCCAAAGACTTCAATGAGAGGTTGCTCAGTTCCAGACAGAATAGGAACTCCGGTGATTAAGTTTGAGAATTGTTACTGTTTGGTTAGCAGTGAGTGGTTTATCATGATTTATCACTGTTGAAACTAACTAAAATTAAAATTAGACTGTGAAGTAAAACTATTATTAAAAGGGTAGACTCAATTTACACTTTAGACCATACAATATTAGTTTTTCTATTAAACAGGAATTATCTTTGTTTGTCATATTTTTAGTTCCTCTTTTAAGATGGCTATGGAAAATATGTTAGCATTTTTCTAATGATCTATGTATGTCTCATTTCAAAGATGCTAGCAGAATTTCCCTAGCTAGTATAGCTAGGATTTAAGTCTTTCTGGACACAAGAGACTAACTAGCTAATTTCAATGGCTGCTCAATTGGGATGCTCTTTTTATGATTATACTAATTATGTAAGGAAATGTTTCTGATAGTCTCCTGTTATGCTACCATAGTCAATCAGTGGCTTTTACTGTTTGAATTACTGTACAATGACCATGCCTCTCTCTCTCTCTCTTTATCTCGCTCTCTCTTTCCCCCTCTGTCCCCTTCTCCACTAGAGCCACCATGTTTGAAATTAAGAAAATCTGCTGTATTGGTGCAGGCTATGTTGGTGGGCCAACATGTAGTGTCATTGCACATATGTGCCCTAAAATCAAGGTTACAGTTGTTGACGTTAATGAAGCTAGAATCAATGCCTGGAACTCTGATACACTTCCAATTTATGAGGTAAACTTGTGTTTATTATAGCATTTTTGTCTTTAATATAAAGCATTTGCCTCTGCTCATACAGTCCCCCCACCCCCCGGCTCTCTTTGACTCCTAATGGTTGTTCTAGGAACATCAAAACTACATGCCTCATTCAAAAATAATGTTCCTTCAACAACTACACATTAAGCATGTGCTGTAAACACGGGTTTGAAATGACCACTGGCCTCCATGAACTTAGTGCTGTCAGATGCTGGAGCGTGTTTCAGAGATGACTTACTTAGGCCTTGTGCATCCTGGTCAGGAAAAAATATTTACTGTATCCAGTAAATCATACAAAATCATGGTTCTTTTGGGGCCCTGTGTACACTACACTCTTATAGCTGAGTCAGCAGACCGAGTTATGACAAAGTTTTTCTTTTGTTACAACACAGTTCCAGTATGTAATGTGGATGGCAATCTGTGTCCCAGAGGGATGCTTTGGACCACTGTTGTTAGGTCACATCCACATTACAAATTGTAACCAAGTTGTAAGTTAGGGGACAGCCAGCCATATTGCAGTTATGTCTCCTGACTCTGTAACTGTAATGCAGCTGAGCTCCTAGAAGGGAGAGAACAATTTTCCTGGCTGGTGGAGACAGGGCCTAATTGTGCTATTCACACCTGTGCAAACAGGCCATCAACATTTAAGGAGGCAGTGAAGAATTCACCACTTTCTCAGTACACCATTGCAAATGGCTGTGAAATGGTGAATCAAACTTTCACCTAGCATACAAGTGATTTAGCAACATAGAGGAAAATGAGAAACCATTGTGGGGCTCATTCTGCCACTCTTAAAGTGAGTAGTACCTCACTACACAAGCAGTTTTGCTGATTTTTTGACTGGCATCAGGGTAGCAAAATCTGGTCCTATGCTAGTTGTTCACTGGAATTTGGTGTTCCTTAAAGTTAGGATTTTTGCTAGAACTTTAGTCCTTCCTATAAGGAGTCAGCTTTTTTTAAACCTGAATGATACCCTGATGATCACTAGGGGTGCCAAGAGCTTTTCAACTCCTAACCAGTAACACTTCACATCTTTTTTTTGTTTTTTTTTAGTTATAAAATCATTTTTCAGTAAGCACATACATTAATTTCAGCGTCAGAGATCTGTTGATATGTAACATTATCATTGCTTTTTACACTGCAAAAGGATTTCCATTGTCTTGTATACAAATTACCATTTTTAGCACTTGATATTTTACAGTTTTTGCTCATTAAAAAGTAGCTCTCGTCACCCCCCACTCTCCTGTGTTGTTATAAATAACAACATTGACATGAGATGTACTGAACCAGGGCTCAAGATGTACCTGCCCACACTTTTTAATGGAAAAAGCTAATGTTTTTGCTCAACCCTCAAAAGCAAGGAAAGTAGAATTTTGCAAGGCTGCCTTACATTGTTCTTTTGGCCATAAAAAGAGAGAAACTTGTTTCTTGTCTTCTGATGTTCCCTCTGATTTTTACCCTTGCTGTAATATCAAATACATGACAAAGTTGGTCTGTTGACCTTTGTTTAAAAAAAATCAAAACCATAGCCTTTGCTCTTGTTTCCAGAGCTTGGTTAAAATTTAACTAATGGTAAAATGTATAGCATTCGGATTAGTGGATAAAAATTGTGGAAAGAATTGAGTACAGATCTTAACATGGATGAGCAAATGTTTTGTTTTTTATTAAAACTTAAACTGTTTGAGTAAATTAAAACACAGCTAGTCTCTTCATACCAGAAGCACATCTGTTTCCCAGCAGGATATCTATTGCTTACAAAGAATACCCCAAAATTTGTAAGAATGAGTTCAGACATTTGCAGTTTTTAACCCCCTGACACTTTGTGCTCCACTCCCTTCAACTACCATATAGGAAGATACAAGCTAATCCTTTGGTTTCTACATGAGCAGTCTTTGTACCTGAATCCCAGCAAAAATCACAGCTGGAATGTTAATCTTATTCATAATTGGGTTCTGGTGTTTGTTTGAAATGGCTCAGGTTCTGTGGTAATGATTTTCTACTTGAGTTAATTTTTTATTTCTGTTAGGTCAGATGTCTAGTAAACAGTGAGACAGCAAAAAATGTCTTTGTCTAGGTAAGGTGCAACTTCCCTCTCTTCCCCCAAACTGAACCTTTACCTTGACGCAGTTACTGAAAAAGGATCTTGTGTCATTCTTTTGATAGTACTTTTATAAGTAGGATTGGGTGAAATTCACAATTCTTTACTATTGTATTTAGAATAGTGGCTTTAGTTTCTGTCGAATAATTCAAACATTTTTGTATGAAGTCCTAATACATGGAGTTTGTTCAGGTATATGAATAACCAGAGGCCCCATGCAAGTGGGGGGAGGCATTGGGGAAGCATCCCAATGCTATGTTTCTGTGTAAGAGAGGGCTATAATTAGTTTGTACTCAGTATGATCCTCTGTGAATCCACACAAGTTTTATTTTCTGACCGATTTGAAATAACTTTTAATAAAGATTAAATTAAAAAAAAAATTGAAAACAGAATCTTTGTTGTACTGTGTGCTGCCTGTTTGAATATACTGTTATCTGTTTTAACCAAATTTTGACTATTAAATACTTGCCTGTCTCTCCCTCTAGCCAGGGCTAAAAGAAGTGGTAGAGTCCTGCCGAGGAAAGAATCTCTTATTTTCCACCAGTATTGACGATGCCATTAGAGAGGCTGATTTGGTATTTATTTCTGTAAGTCGTTTCTTTTGCACTTTGATATTTATTATCATTATTATATTGCTGTGCTCAAATGTGTGGCGGGGGGGTGAGGGAGTTCAAATTTTTTTTTTTACATGTCCTTTATTTTGTTTGAAGAGGTGATGTAGTTTCAGGAAGCATAACAGACTTGTGCTGCACTGTGCGGGTTTTACCAGGCAGGTATGCTTAGCTTGCAGTGAAGATGATAAAACTCTTAAATCTTCTTCCTTTGCTATTATTTATCTCTCTCTATCTGAAAAGCACCCAACAAACTTTTGGACTCTCTATATACAAATAATAAGCTTGTTACTTTACATAGCTGAGTATTTTCTGAAGACACAATACAAAATAAGCCCACAGTTTTGTAACTAGTGTGGACTTCTATTTATAGCATTTCACTGAAGTTGATGGGACTCGTGCAGAAATAAGAGTCCATTAGCAGGTTTCATTGCAGGATTGGCAATGAAAATGGTATAATACTTATCTGGATATAAAGAGTCTTTAACTTTTTTTCCAGTACTTTTTAAAATTCAGTTAATTAGTGGAGAGGAGAAGACTGCAGCAGTTTTTGTTTGTAGATAGTCTCCTATAGTTTTTAATATTTCCACTCTCTTGAAACACTAGGAAACAGGTCCTATTAAACACAACACTTGTGGCATTTTGCAGTGTCAAAAGTCATGTACCTAGTTCCATATCCAAAGAACTACATAATAAGCTCTGGGGCTGCAGACCATTTATTGTTCCATTCTTCAGGTACTTTACAGAGAGCTGTGATATTGGGAAGAGCTCTTGTTAATAAGCTCTCCTCTGTCCCCTGGGAGAATCTTCTGCATGAACCAGTAAAGTCTAATATTAATGCTATGAAATCACTGAGCCTGTAGATTGCCAGCTGAGTTCCTGTCCCTGGCTGGTAAAACATGCTGTGTTGTGTTTTAATTTCAATATTCTTGCCTTCAGCCTGTAACGATAAGGACCCTCTATGTTCAGTTAAGTGAAATATTGCCCTACATTGACACTTCCCCGCACCCTTCTCAAGTACAGCAATTTTCAGGAGCTCTTTGGCTGGTCTGCGCTTAGCTTTTCCAGTCATATGGTTTTGGGGGGTAGCCTCCCTACTATTAGCATCAGAGGAATCCCTCAGAGTAGAGGGAAATAAGGGGAAATTGAATCTTTGCACGTATTGTTGCTTGAGTTGGGGAGAAGACTAGAAATAGCTCTTTGTGTGTATGGGGAAGCAATTTTGAATAAAGATTAGACTCTGCTGAAGCCTGCAGAGATGCTATGAATAATGTCCCTTGTGTAAATCCTATTTGATGATGAACAGAGCTTAGTGATATTTTTTTACAACTTAGAGTGAGTAATTGATATGTCTGCTAGCTGTTTGTTGATCTGGCAGCCAGTTACTGGCTGAATCAGTAAAACAGAAACTTTCCTGTCCTTGGAGTGTAATCTCATGTATGCAGGAGTTCCAGTATCTTCAGACTTGTGAAAATTTTGTAAAGACTGTAATAACTTTTTCCTTCCCATGAATTTGTAACTAGGTTAACACCCCAACAAAGACATATGGGATGGGAAAAGGCCGGGCAGCTGATCTGAAGTACATTGAAGCATGTGCTAGGCGGATTGTACAGAATTCAAATGGTTATAAGATTGTCACCGAGAAAAGCACAGTCCCAGTACGTGCAGCAGAGAGTATTCGTCGGATATTTGATGCCAATACAAAACCTAATTTGAATTTGCAGGTAAATATCTAGAAGTTACGGACTAAAGTGTCCCCTCCTCTCCCCCTTCCCCCCAATTCCTTGTTTTACTTCAAACTTTATTTTCCTGTCTGTTTTGCAGGTGTTGTCTAACCCAGAATTCCTAGCAGAAGGAACAGCTATCAAGGACCTAAAGAACCCAGACAGAGTGCTGATTGGTGGAGATGAGACTCCAGAGGGACAGAAGGCAGTCCGTGCGCTATGTGCTGTGTATGAGCACTGGGTTCCCAAAGAAAAAATCCTCACAACCAATACTTGGTCATCTGAGCTTTCCAAACTGGTTTGTATCAGTTATGGTGCTATGTCAATCAACAAATTAAATACAAAATATCAGCACTGATATTGGTAAGAATAATCCTCCAAAAGCCATAGCAACTAGTTATCTGAATGCTTATAAGAGATTCCAGTGCTGCATATCAAAATTGTTTGTTCACAACTTACTAATAGGCTTTTCTGTATCAGAAAAGTACCTTATCCCAAATCAATTCTATTTTGGTAATGAAATCATACATATTGGAAACAGCAGAAAATGGTAACGTCAACCAAAAAGCAAATCTAGTGTACACATTGAAGTAATCCCCCTTTTTTTATCTGTACCACACACAAAAAAACCAAACCACACCTCTCCATTGGCTTACAGACCTCTTATTTACAGAAGGGAAAACCACCTCTGTGGTGTTTGTGTTTTATTTACAGGCAGCTAATGCTTTCCTTGCCCAGAGAATCAGCAGCATTAACTCAATCAGTGCTCTGTGTGAAGCTACAGGAGCTGATGTTGAAGAGGTAGCAAGAGCCATTGGAATGGACCAAAGAATAGGAAATAAGTTTCTGAAGGCCAGTGTTGGTAAATGAAGAATCTTTTTCTCTTTTTAGACTTGATAGGAGAACTGTCTCTATCCAGCACAATAGCTCAACTGGAAACATTTAAAAATAAGCACTGGTATTCTGAAGTGACTGTTCAATGCACAACAGCTTACAAAAGACCTACTGTCCTGCTGTGGTTGATGTAGTGTTTTTTGGTGTTTAATGAAAGAGATTGAGGATTCAGATAATCCTCTTTAGAGTCTCACACTTCCGGTTGGCATGGACTAGCTAGGACACTGAGCATCCATCAGGGAAGAGAGGTTAAAATTTCATCCCTCTAGAGCATTCCCTACTTGCTGGTTGATGGGTAGCTTTCTAGTCACTACATAGTCTGTCCACACTCTAGTCAGCAGAGTGAATTCAGTTATCCAGACTTTGGTATTGCAGACTGAGATCTAATATGGAAAGCTATCAGTATGCAAATTCTATAGATCCAGTCTGACTGGCCAAATATCCTGAGACTCTGTCTTGGGGACAAAAAACTTTGTGGAGCATGTCCATTAGCTGGGTCAGTGGGAAAAGATGCAACCCTATTCACATGGCTACATCTCCATACTAAAAGTATTTAATTTTTAAAATTACTTTACCAAATGTTGTCTTTTCTACCAATGTTTATAATAGAGGAATGGCAAAGTAGCAAAATCTGTTATCCAAATATACCCATTTTTCAGATATCTACCTCTCTGGCTTGGTAGAGGGGAGTCTGAGAGTTCTGGATCCTGCCACTCATTATCTTAACCCCTCATCAGCTTTTTGTTCTTCTTTGGCTCCTGACCATGATAGTGAGTGAGAATCCAGAACCCTTTTAAAACTAGTTTAAATCTAATCTCTGGGTAGTGGCCCTAAGGGGAAGAAGCAGCAGGTCTCTTGAGGTCAGTGGCAAAACTGACAGGATTTTAGGTCCTATTAGCTGCTAAAGTAAATAGGATTGAAGAACAGGATTTGGAAGAATCCTAGGAGTTCAGTTAAAAAGACTGGCAGCCCATCCCAGGAAAACTATTCTTGATATTTTGGTCAATAACTGCCAAACTTGGGGAGTGCCATTTTAAAGTGTCTGTGTTGTGGAGGGGCATAGATTTACTCTTCTCCCCACCTGACTCCCCCCCTTGGCCCTTGAGCCCCTATACCCATCTCCTCCTAGGAGCCTCAGCCCTGGAGGGAGCCCCTTTACCATTCCCTTCCTACTAGGCATTGTCTTGTCATTATCCTGAGTACTAGTGAGCCTTGCCCTCAGGTGATGGGACTGTCCCACTTCCCAGATGGTCCCTGGTGTTGAGAGGAGCCTCTGCGGTTTCGGCAGCCGGTAGATTGGGGCATGGCAGAGTGCATGCAGAGCTGGATCCAGGTGCAGGCCACAGTGTGCTCCCAGTTGTGAAACGTGTGGCTGCTAGTTTCAAGATCAATGCACACACGTGCACACAGCAAAAAAAATCTGGCAAATTGCATCTCTTGACCAGCAACCAGCAAGAGTCGAGAAACTGGCCAGGCCTATCAAAAAGTGGCCTGCATCAGCTCCCCAGCGTATGCCAGACATAAAGTGATTCCAATATTGCTAAGTACACTAATCTTTTCCTGATGAAGATCATCTGTTGAGTAACCATTTCCTTTCTTTCAGGATTTGGTGGTAGCTGTTTTCAGAAGGATGTTCTGAATTTAGTGTATCTTTGTGAGGCTCTGAACTTGCCTGAAGTAGCTCGCTATTGGCAACAGGTATGAGTCCATCTACTAGCGTAAAACTTATTCAAACAGGGCATGTCACTGTTACCTCTGTAATGAGCCAGTAATTCTTTGGCTTGCAACTTTTCAGCATTGTCTGTGGCAAATTATTGTTTATCCTTCAGTGTGATTGGAACTGAAAATAAAATATATCCTTAACTATAGAGGTAATAAATATTTATTAATAAGTACTTTGTATAGCACCTTCTACCCGAGGTTATTAGAATGCTTTACAAATGTAATAAATGAGAATTCAACACCCCTTCAGGGTGGGCATTACTAACCCTATATTAGACGGAGGGTGTAAATTCAAAGTGTGATTTCAGGCAGACCCATCCAGGCTAGCTTTAAGTGTGCTACCATGGCTAAGAATAGCAGTGTTGATGTGGTGGTTTAGAGTAACCCATGGTTCTGGGTGGGCTTGTACAGCCTGCACTGCCGCAGAAACACTGCTGTTTTTAGCCATAGTGGCACAAGTAAAGCTAGTGTGGGTATGTCTAGTGGAACTGCAGTCACACCTCAGATTACAGTGTAGTTGTAACCCCTCTGTGCCATAGGGTAAATGACTTGTCCAGCACAACATAGGAAGTTATAGAGCTGGGAACAGAACCCTGGTCTCCTGACTCCATGCCTGTTGTTTAACCACAATCTATCCTCCTTGTCTCAGTCCAGCATTAATGAAGGCAACTTATTTTAATACACTTTCAAATAACTCTAAAGTTTTTATAGAAAACCCACCAGAACCCATGTGCTGATTCCAACACTTTGCTGCTGATAACATTGTAAAGACCCTCACTAGCCAATTACTTGATTAAGCAAAAGACTAACGTATGGGCTGTCAGGTATCCATGTGGATAGTGCATTGTATTATCATGTGAGCAAACAGTTTCTAGCTCAGGTACTATTTGTGTATGTCGTTGCTACAGAACATCATAGGTAAAGAAGGCATTGTCTTGTCATTATCCTGAGTACGAGAAACTGCAGGAGTTAACCACGTTAGCTGGATGATTTTAAGATGAGGAATAGCAATGAAATGGTTGGTTTCAGAGTAGCAGCCGTGTAGTCTGTAGCCACAAAAAGAACAGGAGTCCTTGTGGTACCTTAGAGAGTAACAAATTTATTTGAGCATAAGCTTTCGTGGTCTAAAACCCACTTCATCGGATGCATGCAGTGGAAAATACAGTGTGTGTGTGTGTGTGTATATATATATATATATATATAGTGTGTGTGTGTTTTATTTATATATATACACATACAGAGAACATGAAGCAATGGGTGTTACCATATACACTATAACGAGAGTGATCTGTTAAGGTGAGCTATTGCCAGCAGGAGATAGAGAGAACTTTTTGTAGTGGTAATCAAAATGGCCATTTCCAGCAGTTGACAAGAAGGTGTGAGGAGCAGTGTGGGGGGGAAATAAACATGGGGAAATAGTTTTACTTTGTGTAATGAAATGGTTAACGCTCACCTGGGGCTTCAATTAACATTAAGTTGAGAAGAAAGGGACAAATTTACACTTATTGTTTTAGCCTGTCTGGCTCTAAGATCAAGACAAAACAATCCGGTTTCAGTGTGGCGAGTCTGACAAAGAAGGAATAAAAACTTTTTAAAAAAAAGTTGAGTTGCATTGGTGCAAACTAAAGGTGTTACTTTAAACTGGTATGAACCTTCATGTGGACGCTCTTATTTTGGTTTAAGGGCTGATCTACAAACTTTTTGTATGGCTTTAAATATATCTGTTTTAGAAACAGATGTAGGCCTGGTCTACACTAAAAAGGTAGGTCAACCCAGGGGGGCATGAAAAAATCTGCAGCCCGGAGGAGCGTAGTTAAGCTGACCTAACCCTTGGGGTAGACAGCACTGGGTCAACATAAAAATTCTTCCATTGACCTAACTACCGCCTCTTGGGAAGGTGGATTACGTATTCCAATGGGAGCGTTTCATGTGTAGACAAGCCCATAGTGAATGGAAGCCCCCTAGTGTAGTTGCATGCAGCTATATGAATAAAAGGTGTGGTTTATCTTGGTTTAACTTAAATTGATTAGGGACAGGTTTAAGCTACACCAAAATAAACTGCTCTTAATTTAATTTGTGTCCACATAGTTGCTTGCATTGGTTTAATTAAATTGGTTTAAATAAGCCATACAAGATTGTGTGTAGACAAGGCTTTAGATTCTGGAGGATACAGTGAAGTCTGTAGCGATAAGGTATTTAGGCACTGAACTTCCATTGGGCCTAAAACATTAATCTTAACCCCTCCTCTTAAGTGCTTTTCTGCCACCTTTTTTTCTTCCCCTGGGGCAAAGAGTGATTTACACACCACGTATAGAAAACCAAATCAGTGCAAGTGATATTTTACTATTAACATCCATTTTCTGAGCAACTTATACCTGATGTGGGCCATATGCCACTGTTCACATCACTTCTAAGTGTAGTTTTGTTCGTTGCAATGAGAATATGCTCACATTCAGAGTCACAGGGAAGGCTATTGCCTACATTATCTGAGTTATGTATGCCTTTGACCAAACAATCTCTGGAGAACCTGGCTTTCTTACTTGGTCATTGGAGGCAAAGGTCCAAAAAAGACTAGGGATCAAGAGTTAAAATGTTGGGGGAAGGGGGAAAAAACAGCACCTCTAATATGGAGGTAGAGAGTAACCTACATATGGTCTCAAAGTCTTTCTCAAAGAGAAGTATTTTTATCATTAAAGTGCATCACTACCACTTACATCCATGCCAGTCTTTGTGCATTGACATGTTACAGTATGCACTAAACGGGTACTAAAACTGCCTGACTGTTGTGTAAAATAGATGTACTACATAATATATATACACAAACCTAGAGGGAAGTGTAGTTTTTGCTGTAGTCTGTTGGCATAATGCCCTTATTTTCTAAGCTCATTTACTCCCTGAAAGGTACCACAATGCTCACTCCTATTGTTGTTGCTTTCCATGTCTTGGCCTAAAATAATGAGCTGTGTGGTGAGGGGGGAGGGGGTTTGGGTGTTGGTTAAACTACATTGCACAGAAAGAAAAAGTAAAATGGATTATAAAAATGAAATCAACCATTAAGATCTGGGGAAAGCTTCCACACAATGGAGCAACACCTGAAGTTGGGACAAAATTTTCCAAGATCCTTTCTTAAGCAAATGTTCACTGGATGTTTTACTAATGAGGACAGCAGAATTTGGTTCTTGGTAGCTTCTGAATGTTAAATCAATTGAAAACATCCACTGACTTCAATGGGATCAGGATTAAGACTGCTGATACTGTTTTCTGTTACTGTGATTAAAAAAAGCTGGATCAGTCCTTCGGTTACTCATATTTTACTTATTAAAAATAGAAATTGCAACCATGTTAATATTTAAAACATGTACATCTGCCTAAGTTCAGTTTTAACTAAGTGCTTTTATCAGGAGCAGAGGCTTAGCAGTGGCACTCTTTTCCCCAGTAACTATTAACACTGCATATCTTTGGTCAAGTGTAACCTCATTCATACCATCATATTCTGCATAATTTCAGGTGATAGACATGAATGATTACCAGAGAAGGAGATTTGCTTCTCGTATTATTGACAGCTTGTTTAACACGGTCACTGACAAGAAGATTGCTATTCTAGGATTTGCATTCAAAAAGGATACAGGAGATACAAGGTGACAAAATGCATGAAACTAATTAATGCTGTCATAAGGCATGCTGGAATGATTTATCTAATCTTGCACTCCATCTACACAGCTAAAACAACTGTGTAGATGGGTAAGAGGATCAAATAGATGCCCCTCAATTTGTTTTGGCTGAAATGTGGGGGGCGGGGGCCAGTGGTGACTGCTGCCCGGGGCTGCAGCCCACGGCTGCTCTGGCCGGCGACCTCTCCAGTTGCTGGCCGCAGAGCCAGCTGCTTGGGCAGCTCTGGGGTCAACCACGCTGGCCCCTGCAGAAGTCACGGAGGCTGCGGAAAGTCACGGAATCCATGACAGACATGGAGCCCTACTCGTAATTACTCAGAACCATAATGCAGGAGGTTTCTGCTGAGTCACCCTAAACTCAGATGCTAGAGTTCTGTATTCACAGGCAGGGAATCTGTAACCCTGTTGCACCCCCATTGAGTGTGGTTTTTGGCCCCATTCAGACTAATTGGCCAAATTGCACATTAAATTGTGACTGAACCAGATTATAGTAATAGGTTTAAATATTTTTTTAAACACCGTAAATGAGGGCTTTCTTTGGTGGCTGGGACTAAAATTTTGTTTTTAATCCTTTAAGCTACTCTCTTCTATTTTTATGTTTTTACTGATGATTTACTTTCCTGGGGCCATGTGTTATCACTGGAATTACATTCAATAATTTCAGTTTGAAAGCTTTGGTACTGCTCATTTCTGAGTATTTGTTCATGTTGTTCTAAATAAATCTAAATGTTTGTCTGAAGACTTCCATTAACTGGCTGACTTATTTTCTTAGAGAGTCTTCCAGTATTTACATCAGCAAGTATTTAATGGATGAAGGAGCAAAACTCCATATATATGACCCTAAAGTACCAAGGGAACAGATCATCCTGGATCTCTCACACCCAGGTGTCTCAGAAGATGACCAAGGTGAGGGAATTTTGCTTCTCATAAATTCTATCTTTCTGCTGTGTCACCAGGCAGAATCCATCCAGTGCTCTTGAAATTGCTTTCAGCGTGGCAGAGATGGATGATCAGTTAAATTATTAAATCAGGAGTTTGCCTCAGTTAAAAAGGCTCACTGTCAAGTTGGTTTTTTAACTTAATTCTTCATAGCTTCTAAAATGCTTGCATTTGTGAAAGTTACTTCTGTGCAAGTCTGTCCCCTTTGACACATTAATTTTAAAGCTGTGTAAAGAGTGTCTCCTTCAATTCAAAAAGAAGGTGGGAAAGGGGAGGGAGGGAGGAAGGAGACTACTGTCATTTGACCAGCTCCTTCTCCCCTTCCGGGTTCCTACCTGGTACATGTTCAGTCTTGTGCCTGGATAGTCTAGAGAAGAACTCATTATAATTTTCTGGAAGCTAATTCCATGGGTTCTTGGGGCTTGTAGTAAATCGCATCCACACTAGGAACACTTTGCTACTATATTATACTGGTATAGCTATACCAACAAAATGCTTCTAGTGCAGACTTGGTCTAAGTCTGTAATGCCATAATTCTAGAATGCCCTAACAGAAAATAAATAAAGAATAAAGAGAGGAGTGGAGGCACACAGAGACCCTGGTATTGGGTACAAGAGGAAATGGGGGGCACACAGAGACCGTGGCATGAAGGAGGGGAGGATGGTACACAGGGAGCTTATGAAGGAATTCATGGAGCCTCTGGTATGTGCAGTGAGCTTGGCCAACAGAAGCCATGTAGTGTGTACGCAGTATTAAATAGTAAATGTGCATGGAGTGTTTGAAAAGCACTGTGCTGCTATTATCACTACTCAATATTGATTATTTTACAATGAGCTCGATCCATGTCTGGATCTAAGTATTGGACAATTACTTCTAATTCCTTAGTGAATCTGCAACAAAACTTTCAAACTTAAGTGCCTAACCTAGGCATTCAAGTAAGTGCCCTGACCTTACAGAGATGTTGTATACCCACTGCTGCTGTTGTCTTCAGAAACTATAGGACCTTTAGATAAGGGGAAGATGTTCAGGTGTTGTTGACATTGAAAGTTTGTGTTTGAGTAGGGCTAGCAGGGAAATTTTCCTATCAGGGAGTACACATCAGAATGCTGCCAGGAAATGGGGAAGTGTAATGCTTCATTTTCCTTTTTTTGTTACAGTGTCTCGTCTGGTCACTATTAGTAAAGATCCATATGAAGCCTGTGATGGCGCTCATGCCCTGGTTATCTGCACTGAGTGGGACATGTTTAAGGTAAAAAGATTCCCCCCCCCCCCCCTGTTTTTTAAAGGTAAGAGGAATTCTGACACTTATGCAAATTCTGTGGGTCATTTACAGGAACTGGATTATGAGCGCATTCACAAAAAAATGCTGAAACCAGCTTTCATCTTTGATGGTAGGAGAGTTCTTGATGATCTTCATAATGAGCTACAAGTCATAGGCTTCCAGGTAACTGTTTTTCCTTTAGGAGAAGTATGGTCGAATCACAAGAATCTAGTATGTGAGTTTAATACCTTGCTTTAGAGTTAACCTGTAAAGGTCCTTTTATTAAGCCCATCACTGATTACACTTTTCCTACAATACAGCTCTGGTTGTAAACTGATATTGCTTTAAAATCCAAGCCGCATCAGGCTGTTCCATCAACATTCAGTAACACAGACAAATTAGTTTACTAGACATAGGCTTTGTCTACACTAGGACTTTTGTCAGCAAAACTTTTTTGTCAGTCGGGTGTGAAAAAACACCCTCCAGGCAACACCCCCCACCCTCCCGACCAACATATGTTTCACTGACAAATGTGCCAGTGAGGACAGTGCTATGTCAGCGATAGACGCTTTCCTGGTGTCATGGTTCCCGCCGCTCATTGGGGGTGGTTTAATTACCACACAGGAGACCTTACAGTAGTGGTATAGATGTACAGCTGTAAGGCCCCTAGTGCAGACATGGCCATAGCTGGTATTCTGGCAGCATCAGAATGATGAATATTAAAATTTGACAGGTTTCAGAGTGGTGGCGGTGTTAGTCTGTATCAGCAAAAAGAACAAGGAATACGTGTGGCACCTTAAAGACTAACAAATTTATTTGAGCATAAGCTTTCATGGGTTAAAACCCACTTCATCGGATGCATGCAGTGGAAAATACAGTAGGAAGATAAACTTAGGCTCAAATAAATTTTAGTCTCTAAGGTGCCATAAGTACTCCTCATTCTTTTTATTAAAATTTGAGTGAATGATCTCCTGACACAAGTATTTCATCACTTCAAGGCTCAGTTAAATTCTGAATAAAACATAGAAACCAAATTAGACAAGCGTTTATAGTGGAATGTTTCCTTTAGTAAATGCTGAAGTGCAAAATTATCCATCATTGAGGTCTTTATCTAGCACATTGCTATTTGGTCCACTTTATCATGTGGCTTGGAGAATCAACAATTGTTTCTGTGTGCCCAGCTGTAGTAGTTGGCTTTCTAAGATAAGCAACAGATAAGCTCTTGTTCAAGAGGGGAAGATACACCTCTAATTATTCAATGTTTGGGTCTCTAATCTAGTCCACTCTTGAGCAGAATTATTTGGGCCTAATTCTCCTCTTACACCAGTGTAGATTGGGAACATTTATATTGAAGTCTATGGAATTAAATGGGTGTAAGTGAGAGGCAAATCAGGCTCACCATGTGGAAATGACGATGCCTGGTTTTTGGATACACAAGTTTCCTGATTAGTTTGTTTGGCTAGTTAAAACAAGTTGGAAACTCTTAGCTTTGCAGAGTTGCATTGGTTTTTTTTGTTTTGTTTTTGTTTAAAAGCCAAGCACCATTATTCATGTGTTTACAATAGGTCTGTCAAGCGATTAAAAAAAAAATTAATTGTGAGTAATCGCATTGTTAAACAATAATGGAATACCATTTAAATATTTTTGGATGTTTTCTACATTTTCAAATATATTGATTTCAATTAGAAAACAGAATACAAAGTGTACAGTGCTCACTTCGTTTATTTTTGATGACAAATATTTGCACTGTAAAAAACAAAAGAAATAGTATTTTTCAATTCACCTCATACAAGTACTGTAGTGCAATCTCTTTATCATGAAAGTTGAACTTACAAATGTAGAATTATGTACATTGTTTTGTTTTTCAATGTAAAACTTTAGCACCTACAAGTCCACTCAGTCCTGCTTCAGCCAATCGCTCAGACAAACATCCTTGGTTACAATTTGCAGGAGATAATGCTGCCCGCTTCTTGTTTACAATGTCACCTGAAAGTGAGAACAGGCATTTGCATGGCGCTAGGGTGACCAGATGTCCCGTTTTTAAAGGGACAGTCCCGTTTTTTGGGACTTTTTCTTATATAGGAGCCTATTACCCCCCACTCCCATTCTGTTTTTTCACAGTTACTATCTGGTCACCTTACATGGCGCTGTTGTAAATATCTTGCGACGCCGGTTACATGCCAGATGCGCTAAAGATTCATATGTCCCTTCATCTTCAATCACCATTCCATAGGACATGCGTCCATGCTGATGATGGGTTCTGCTCGATAACGAGCCAAAACAGAGCAGACCGATGCATGTTCATTTTCATCATCTGAATCAGATGCCACTAGCAGAAAGTTGATTTTCTTTTTTGGTGGTTCAGGTTCTGTAGTTTCCGCATCTGAGCGTTGCTCTTTTAAGATTTCTGAAAGCACGCTCCACACCTCATCCCTCTCAGATTTCTGAAGGCACTTCTGATTCTTAAACCTTGGGTTGAGTGCTGTGGCTATTTTTAGAAATCTCACATTGGTACCTTCTTTGCATTTTGTCAAATCTGCAGTGAAAGTGTTTTTAAAATGAATATGTGCTGGGTCATCATCTGAGACTCCTATAACATGAAATATATGGCAAAATGCGGGTAAAACAGAGCAGGGGACATCCAGTTCTCCCTCAAGGAGTTCAGTCACAAATTTAATTAATGCATTATTTTTTAATGAGCATCATCAGCATGGAAGCATATCCTCTGGAATGGTGTCCAAAGCATGAAGGGGCATACGAATGTTTAGCATATCTGGCACATAAATACCTTGCAATGCTGGCTACAAAAGTGCCATGCGAACCCCTGTTCTCACTTTCAGGTGACATTCTAAATAAGAGGCAGGCAGCAGCATCTCCTGTAAATGTAAACAAACTTGTTTGTCTTCGTGATTGGCTGAACAAGAAGTAGGACTGAGTGGACTTGTAGGCTCTAAAGTCTTATGTTGTTGTTTTTTGAGAGCAGTTATGTAACAAAAAAATCTGTATTTGTAAGTTGCACTTTCGTGATAGAGATTGCAATATAGTACTTGTATGAGGTAATTGAAAAATCCTATTTCTTTTATCATTTTTAAGTGCAAATATTTGTAATAAAAATAATATAAAGTGAGCACTGTGCACTTTGTATTCTGTGTTGTAATAAAAATCAATATCTTTGAAAATGTAGAGAAACATCCAAACATATAAATTTCAATTGGTATTCTATTGTTTAACAGTGCGATTAATCGTGATTAATTTTTTTTCAGTTAATCAAGTGAGTTAACGGCGATTAATTGACAGCCCTCGTTTTAAATTAAGATTTGAAATAAATTTTAGAAACTCTTAAGCACCTACTTCATGTTCCTCCTGTAGGCAGTCTCATTGAAGTCAATGAACATTCACTTGCCTAGCATTAAGCACATACCTAAATATTTCCAGGATTGAGGCGTCTCTTTACTGTAACAATTCTTAAAGGGATTGTTTTGCATGTGGAAAGTGAGAGATCAGTTTTAGTAGACAAACTTCTTTTTTGAATTAGAAATACAACCACTTAATGTGGCTTTTATCCACTGAACGTATATAACAAGTTTAGGCAAAGCCCCCAAGTTTACTGGTTCATAGATTCCTCACAGGCTGACAAGATTCTTTTTGCACAAGCTTTACATAGTATATAAATTTTCTTTTGTCTTCCAGATTGAAACAATTGGGAAGAAAGTGTCCGCAAAAAGAATTCCTTTTGCTCCTTCATGTGAAATTCCAAAGTTCAGCCTGCAAGACCCACCTGTCAAAAAACCCAGAGTATAAGTTTTACTAGGTACTGAAGTATCACAATGGACCAGTGTGAATTTTTTTTAAAGATATTGTTCTTAAATTGTAAAACAATTTTACATTAGAAATGGTAGCCGTGTACCTGGTACATGTGAACTCAAATTTTCTAATCTCTCTCTCTTTGAAATATTGTAATTTTTTTTTCCAGTTATTGAAGACTGTACAGGCCTGATTGTTTTAGTAATCAATTTTTTATGAACATTTACTTCAGACTGCGAACTTTTGTTTTTAGAAATATTCACAAGCTGCACTTTAAATTTTATAAACAACACAAAGGCCAAAAGTAATTAACAGAATTGTTCTTGCTTTGATCCAGGAATATGTGGTGCTCAGTAATGTCATTGGCGTTGCTGAAGATTTTAATTTGACTCTGGGGTAATTTTGTTGTCTTAGATGCCTGATCTAACTCATGTGAAAATCAGTGGAAAGATTCTAATTGACTTTAATCAGAGTTGGATTGAGCCATTAAATAGAACATTGATCTGGTTTTAACAATGAGATCCTGATTGGGACCTCTGGGCACTGATGCAATATAAATGTTTAGTAATGTGTCAGGGAGCTAGGTCCATGTCTGCCATTAATTTGGTGATAGTTCTGCAGTGGGTTTGCAACGACAGTCTGACTTACCAGCTATGTCCTTAATAATTCCTTGGTCTTGGCTCTATTATACGTACTGTATAGCATCTTTTGTCAGTTGTAAATTATGGATTTAATTAGACTTTTGGGGCCAAATTTCTCCTCTGTTTCAGTGTTGCCACCCTACTGTCTTAAACAGAGAGAAGCATTTGGCTCTCCTGCTTTCTCCTCTTGCTCAGCACTGAGTAAAATAAATGTTTCCGTCCAAGATGATGGATACTCGGTGGTCCTTTTCTCCCCTTTTTGCAACCATATGCGAGCTGGAAACAGATGTTCTTTCCACTGAATCTGCAAGAATTTACCCATGACTCTTCATAAAGTAGTCAGCTTGCTACCTCACTTTGATTACCAGGAATAAGTCTTGTTTGTTTTGATATTTTTTTTCTGCTTTAATTTCTACTTTTCATTGTCCTAATAGGTCTGTGCTATTAAATACTTTTTAGTAATAAAGTCTGCATTCCATCTGTTTTGTCAGTTCTCGGCTTGGGGGTGTGACCGACTGATATTGTGAGTTGTTGTCAGGGGGCCCATGAACCCTTCATTTTCTTTATGGCTAGAAGGGCATGGAGGCCTCAAAACCCTAAGTAACATGGGCTCATGGGGTTGAAAAGTGCTTGGCAATTATGAATGTAATACTTGGCTGTGTATATTCTGAAGGTGCAGTATGGAACAATGTGTTCATTGCTGTAAGCGATTGGTGCATATGGCAATAAGATTATGATAATCGTTTAACACCTGAAACTTTACACAAACATACTTAATTACCTGGAGTAGGAGCTGAACCAGAAAGGGATTTAGGTGCCAAAGCCTAAAATGTGGATCCTCAAAACCCCTGCTCAGCTGCCTCATCCTGTAGGGGTCCCTAAAGTCCGTGGGCCATGTACGCAGCTTCATAAGTCCTGATACCCAGGTGCCACGCTCATGCCTAAGCCCCAGCAGGAACCTCAAAATAGGTATTGCCCCACCTATTGATCCCCCATTTATAGCCTTTAGCCCAGTGGTTAAAGCACTCAACCAGGATGTGGGAAACCCAGGGTCTCCAACCTCTCGGGTGAATGCCCTAACCAGTAGACTTTGGGGTACTGGGGGGTGCAACAGAGGCTCTCTTAATCCCCCCTGTTTAAGATCTTCCACTTGGTGTGAAATAGTTAATAGTTAGTAGGCCAGGAGAAGAGTGAATAAGCCTATAGGCCACTAGTAAGGGCACACACCTGCGATGTGGAGAGTCAAGTCCCTGTTCCAATGACATCCCCTGTGTGTGTGCCCTCCCTCCCCACCCCCCAAAAAAAGGCACCTCAGCTGAAGGAGGTTGCCTCCCTCCAGCCTGGATTTAGGTGCCTTAGTCCCTTTGAATGAAGGGAGTGTATAGGGCCTCCCTGTTTCCTTGGCATTTCTTATTGGCTCAGTTTGAGTGGCTCCTCGCTGGCTTTTGTGGATCCCACCGTTGGGTACGTGAATCTCCCCATGCATTGTACAGGGAGCGTGGGTGCCTTTTCTGGAGCTCTGGACTCCAGTAAGTGGCAGGGCACAAGTCTCAGCGTTGCAATGCGTAATGTTTTAAGTCCCCTTTGTGGATCTAGCCCTAAAACAAAAGCTTTCTGTGGGACAAGCTATGGTTATCATTTCAAGTCTTCCTATGAGGTCAGTCAAAACGAGTCCAATGTCAGCTGTTCTACATCCAGGAACGTTGCAAGTGAACAACAAGCCCATTTTGGGGGGGAGATACTAATTCTGCAACCGGGCTGCTGAACAAGGATGTACAGCAAGGATGCTGGATCAAGTGCAGCTGTGAAAGAGTACAGGATTAAGGGCACTAATGACTGACTTCATCCTATTATAGAATATCTAGAACACATCACTCTCTTTCTAGTTTGTTGTGTTCTCAAACTGATTTCTAAGTCACTGATCCTCCTGCTGGAGTTGGAAGTAGTTATATTTTATATTGTTTCTATAACCCTACTAAACAACTGAAATCTGGACTAAATTTTAAAATAAATCAAGAGAATGTGGTGGATTTTTTGATTGCTTTTAGGAGTATTGGAGACACCTTTGCATTAAGCTATGTTTCCTCCCAAAATTGAAGACACTTTTTACTAACGGAGAAGAGCTGGAGCATCAATTGTGTTTAATTTGCAACTTTTGCCATTAGCTTCTTAATTCACACTAATGAAAGGGGTTCACTATTGTGAACTCCTGTAAGTACAATTTTTTTTAAAAAGAAGAGAGTACACTTTGTGATGCAATATCTCTGTTTAGTTAGGACCCAATTCAACTCCTATTAAAGTCAATGGACAGACTCCTATTGAATTCATCGGCAACTGGATCAAGCCCTTATTCTGCCAGCTGTAGGTTTATTTTTAATTTATACTTTATAGGCTAATGTACATTCTGTAATGACGCTCTGGTAGAAAGAGAATCACAGCATCTGCTATTAAAGAGTCAGTGTCAATTTGAAATCTAGACCAAAAAAAAGTTTAAAAGTAGTTTCAGATACATTCCTGCTTGAATCTTCTGCTCACACTTCCTTTTTAAAAATTATTTCTCTCCCCACTTCTCTATATGAATGACACACACAGACAGGAGAAACTGCAGAATCAAGGCCAGGATTCTCAAGTGATTGCAATGGGAGTTTGGTACCTAATTACTTCTGAGGATCGGGGCTCAAGTGACTCAATGGATAAATAAAATGTTGCTGAGAGTGAAATTTAATTGGAAAAATGCCTTGAATTTTCCCTCATTCTGACCACCTCTACTGACTGTGCTTTCAGATGCACAAAGTAAACTTTAAAATATTACTTTCTCTAATCTTTGTTATGATAATCTTGGGTGTTACTGTAGAAATAGTATTTTTTTTTTTTTTTTTTTGAAAGAAGTCGATTTTTTTTTTTTTTTTTTTTTTTTTTTTTTTTCTTTTTTTTTTTTTTTTTTGGGG